AACCATTTTTTTCCTTTCTTGAAGACTACTCTACTGTTTGTCAGCAATAGCTCAAGGTTGAGGGTGTGAAGCCGACTGATCTGAGGTGCGTACGTAGGTAAGCAACTAAGCCTGCGATAGCCCAAAGATGAGAGTCCCCTGCTAGGAGCTGAATTCTAGCTACTGGAACAGATTACCAAGGATAAGAATAAGGCAAGAACAGCAAGATATTCCCTATATAACGGGGTATTTGTATTGAAAAGCTATTAACCAAACAATACAATGGATATTTGTAAAGCTAGCTATTAACCAGCTAAACAATGGTAGTTTCCTTCAATTCGAGAAGAAGGATGATACATCTCCCAAGACAAGCCTAAGCTCATCAACACAATTTTCTGCATACCCATTGTTGTGGAGGGAGCCCCAGTTCCTCATTACGAGAAACACTTTTGTTTTTCATAATGACATTTTGGAAAATAATGTGATGTTTTTCACTGGTGACGACCGTGTATGTATTATGAGTGGGAGTCCCAGATCTTGACAAATACCCAATAAGAAACAAAACATGTTTCTCACAATGAGAAACAGAGAATTACCCATTGTTGTGCTCATGCACACATACTTATACTACTCTGATCTTCTACATTCTTCCCCCCCCCCCCCCCCCCCAACAGAATTTTATTCAGTAAAAGACTAACAAACCCCTTATAACCCCCCACCCCCCAAAAAAAAAAAAACAGAATTTACTGTAAAAGAAAACTAATTAACCAAAACAGAAATTGTAAATTAACAAAATAGTTGCCACGATTTAGGTCCAGGCCCATTCCTTGCATCCCCCTCTTTAATAAAACATGGTTAACTCTTTATGAACCACTCCTTTAACTTAAAGATTCTTCCTTATCTCTTTGGAATTGAAGGGAAGAAAAATTCTGAATCATCAAGAAGGGCATCAAATGGCATAGTATTGAAGTAGGACCAAAATTATCCAACTAATGGACCATTTTTTTTGTGGATGTCGTAATAAAAATTTGGAATCATATCTGATGTATGTAACTTTATAACGCAATTAATAATTTGGAGGCTAAAATCTAGTAATCTAGTTTATAAAGCTAAAAGCCTAAACTCAACTATACGCTCAAGTCTAACTTGTGTGTGCATTATCATCAATACATATATATATTATGGTCCAACTAGATTCCAACTAATTTTGGTTAAGTAAAATATTCACGATTATACATCATATTCCGTTTGTATTACTTGTCTTTTGCATCTCTCTTTACGCATAACAAAAAAAGACCATTAATTGGAGTACATTTTTGGTACAAAATATTTCCCACTAGCTAGGTACCAATGACCAATTGAATTAAGCTAAGTCAACTAATTCCTCTATTTAAAAATAACTCCACCAGCTCATGCACCATACAACTAATTGTACTTTGCTAGATATAACCGTAGCAATATGTGGTATACATGATGAGCAAACTGACTTATATGGATTTTGCTCATTTGAATTAAAATGAATAAAGCCAGTTTTGAGAATTTTGCTCATTTCTATGTAAATTAAATGAGTAAAACATATATAATGCTTGTTGAAAAGTTAGGTACTTTGTTTGAAATTTTGAACTTGTTTGTGAGGGAATGAACAAAATTTCAGTTATAAACGGAAAATATTTACTATTATATAAAATGACTTAATTTGAATTGTTATTAAGTTAATTGTTTAAAATAAAGTAATTATTATAGGAAATTTATAGGAGGTGGAGGAGGAGGGAAAAAGTGAAGGTGAGGGATGAAGTAGATGACTTCGCATTTTGATTAGAGGGAGTTTGGGTTCATAGTCATTATAATTTGTAGCTATTTGTTCACTAAGATGGAATGGATTGGTATGAATTCTCATACTTGGGTGGTATGGATTCTATATTCCATACCAATCTAAAAATGTTTGGTTTAATCATGGAATGGATTCTCATAATTGAGTGATAGTATGGATTATGAATCTTAGGGTGGAGGTGGGTATGAGATTTTCAATGGAATGGGATGGAGTTAGAATTCCCCAGGTATGAGATTCCATACTTAAATAGCCTAACCAAACAAATAAAGCCATGAAATAGATTTAATCCATTCCAACCCATTCCAAGAAGTTCAACCAACAACTCCTTAAAATTCAAAACTAGGTTTATTATTATTAGTTTGATTTAAAATAAAAAAATGAAGTGTAACGTTATAATTTTCCCAATAAATTTGACTTATCTTGCTATTCTAAATTAGGTTACTATTTTTTTTTGTTTGATTAGTTTGTTTTAAAAGTAAAATCTTATTATTAAAGCTAACCATTATATGAAGGGAAATTCTCAACGGTGACCCTAATTTTTGTTACGCACTAACAGTAATTCCCTTTTTTTTTGGATTATACAAAATGACCCTTGTTAAAAATTTCATCCCACCTAATAACCATATTTCATAAATATTAACTATGGTTATATTTATATTTTCTTAAAAAAAAGAAAAATTAAATAATTTAATCCTAACCCCCAATCCCCCATTGATTCCGGCCAACCTCTCCTCCTTCCTTACCACCCTCTTCCCACCCGCCACCACCAACATTATCATCCCCCACTCCTCAGTCCTCACCCGCAACCAAGCCACCGCACCACCAAGTAATAGCATCAACCTTAATTAATCATAGCACCTTCACACCCACAACCCACCTGCTGCACTCGCCCAGAACCCAACCACCGTTCCGGCCAGCCCACTCCCAACACCTCCTTGTCGCCCTCCCCCCCAAATACCTCCTTGCTTCCCACAACCACCACCGTAACCCGTCCGACACACGCAAAATCACTACAAAACCACTCCAAAACCCAAAAATTGGCGATGGGGTGGGGTTTTCCTAGTTTCGAGCAAGGTTTTGGGGGAGGTTTCTAGGTTCGAGGGCCGGGTTCATTTTCAACAGAGATGGTGGGTGGGGGTTTCTAGTTCGAGGGTTGGACCACCAAACAATCGATCTCTCGATCTTTCTGTTTCTTCTCTCCCCACTCCTCCACGCACCTTCTCTCAATCTCTTTATCTTCTTCGATCTCCGCTCAGAAATCTAGGCAGAGGAAATTAAAGGATGGAGGGATGGTGGCTCCGGTGAGGGTGGGAGGTGTCGGCGTTTCAGATGAGGGGGTTTGGTGGCTTCGGTGAGGGTGGAGGTGGTGCTTGTTTGATCTAGTGGGTCGGTGGGGATGAGGGTGGAAGTGGTGGCTGGGTTGGTGGTTTTTATTTTTAGTTTTTAATTTTTTTCCCCCAACTTAACCATAGTTAGGTTTTTATAAATAAATAACACTCATTAATGTCATATGTGAGATAAATTTCTTAATTAGGGTCATTTTATATAATCCAAAAAAAAGGGGTTATCGTTGGTGCGTAGCAGAAGTTGGGGGTCGTCGTTGAGAATTTCCCTTTTATGAAATATTTAAATAAATTTGAGAAAAAAAAAGTGTGTACATTATAGTAAGAGCTAAATATATAATTTTTTTTTTTTTGGAGACGATATAAAGTCTTATTATTAGACTATTAGTAAAGCATGCACATACAATAATGGATCATCAACATCATCATTCATCAAGTGCTGCAAAGATAAGCATCGATATCTTTTGCGATGTCGAATTCTAAACCGATGTGCTCATTTGGTTCAGGAGCATCTTCATTCAGCTTCTCAACTTCCAAGCTCAACTTCATAATGCAGCCCTCGCCCTTTGGAGTTACTTCCATCTTGCCCTTGAAGGTCTTGTAGTATTTTTCCCGGGCATGTCCGTCAATAACATCGAATATGTAAGTCCTGTTCTCGAAATCCAACTCCTCGGCTCTTGTCTTGCCGGAAATTAATGTTGGCTTACCGTTATCATCTACAATGACAAATCCAAAAATATTTATGTTTAGATTTCTGCTAAGTAGATCCCTTCAAAATATTATCAAAAGGTCAATTTTTTTTGTAGTTATCATTAACATATGTTACACTTGCTCTTCATTTCAAGTTTAATATGGAGTACAACAGTTTGATTGACAAATTTATCGAAGCTCAACTCTAACTGTTACTATCCTTAATTATTTGTTGGTGATGTTAATTTTCTTGGTATTAGACCTTTCTTTTTTAGTACTATTATTGTATGAATTTCAGACAGAAAATTCAATTATTTTCAAATCACAATAGCAAGATGTTACAAATAAAATATTATGAAAAATAATCTTAACTATTAAATAACTCATATAAATGAACTCAAAAACCATAAAAACAATCATATTAGATTAGTAAAAATCAGGTGAATAAAAACATATCCATATAATGTAGGAGCAAGTGAGTGCATGTGTTAAGATGTAACTTCACTTACCTATGAGATAAGTCCAATTACATACAGCACCCACCTTATCCACTCCCCCTCAACAAGCTCAGCTTTGGGAACTTTGTTAGGGGTTATTTTTGGAATAAGGTGTGCTTTTCTTGTATAAATATCAAAGAATTTGTCTGCGTGACATTTGAGCTCAATTTGGCCTTCAGCCCTTAGAAGTTGAGCCATGTCTTCAATTCGCGCGCCTCTATTGAATACCACTGTTATGTTAGCGAGCAAAATTTTGATTTCTTGAGGCCGAGTCGCCCTGTTGATGGAGGGTAGGGAGAGGCAAGGGTGCCGTCTTATATAAGATGAGAAAAGATAAAAAAAAATTTCTCTTACAATAGCAAGGTTTCTCATAGTGAGAAACAAAATTTGTTTCTCACATGACATTTTTGTAAATAAACCAACTTTATTCAACTTTATTCAAGCCATAATAATAAAAAAAAGTTGTTGATTTATTCACAAAAATGCCCCATGAGAAACAAATTTCGTTTCTCACTAGGAGAAACATACAGGGAATTTTCCAGGTTATATATTCCATCACTTTGAACCACTCCTTTAAATTTGTTGATTCATTCTCCATTATAATTATTTCTTTGAAAGGAGAAATTCTGAATTTTAAGAAGGGCATCAATAGTGTTTGCTTTTAGACCAAATAATATACATTGATTCACATATTGTATAGAATCTAAGCAGGACCAAAGAACAATTGGATCATAGTCAAGGATTTGGAATAATAATACGTGAGTAATGTTTTTTCCTTAAACAAATGATTTGGAGTAAACCCTAAATCCACTATCAGAAAAATAAAATCCCACCATTTAGTAACAATGATTGTAAATTACCTTATTCGTTATACCCTGCCTCAGAGGCTTGTTCTATTCTTGGCCTCGAAAGACCGAGGCAGCTGGTAGATGATTATGTCTACAGGAAGTTCACAAGAGATGGTTCATTTTCCACCAAGTCTGCGTACTGTATGTTGGCCTCACAACAATCGACTTATTCTTATGGTCCATTATACAATTTATGTCCATACAAACAAATTCCAAACCATTTTATTTATTCAATTGGCCTATTATTTTCATGAGTCCCAATTTTTACCCTACAACTCTATCCTATAAATACCCCATAAATCCCCGATTTTTCGCCACACAAAAAGGTTAGTTAATTTTTTTTTTCCTCTTTATTTTAATTCTTTTATTTTTCCTTTATTTTTTCTTTTCTTTTTTCTTTTTTTCTTTCCTTTTCCCCCCTCTTTCCTACGTGAGCTACTACTCACTTTGCTGCCACCCCTGCTCAGCTGCTGCTGCCACTTGTTCTCGCCTGAAACCGGCGCTGGCGTTCCCTAACCGTTGGCGATCAACCGCTGCCCGGCCTCCCACCGTGGCTGGTCTTCCTCTTCTTTTTTCACCCTTATTTCTATTTCTATTTGCATAATTATATAAGTATTGTTTTGGGTTTTTGATTTAATTGTTTGAAATTATTTTTAATTTATTAGTATGAAAAGCCATATTTTGGTTGTTTAAATTCATATTTTCAGATTTTATACATGTTTTTATTTTTCAGATTTTATGATTCTAAAACCTAGGGTTTTAGTATTTAAATTGAGATTTTAGGGTTCTAATAATTAATTAAATTGGGGTTTTGTTCTTATTGAATTTTCAATGATTAATTAAGCATAAAAACATGTTTTAAAGGAAGTTTTAAGGAGTTTTAATCAAATTTATATTGCTGGAAACTAGTTTGGGTATTAATTTTTTATTATTGGTTGTTTTCTAGGAGGTGATTATCCCTAGGAGACTTTTAATTGATTAAAAGTGGCACAAAAATTGTTTACACGAGGTACGTACATGTCTATTTCGTTGTAAGTAGTATCATGTTTAGGTACCAAAAAGAAAGAACTTAGTTTCATCTTTAGAGAACTCTTAGATGGAAATTGTTTGGTTAAACATTGAAGTAATTCATGTGCTTATGTTTATGAGACATGTTTTGGTGAATTGATTATGTTTGCATGGAATTATGGATGCAAGCATGTTGAATTATATTGGATTAGTTGTTTGTATATAATGTTGATACAAGCATATTTTTATTGGATTGGTTTATTAACCACATTTGGAATATTGAACGATTGGAATTGAATGGTTTAAATGGAATGAATTTATTAATTATTCCATGAGGTTATTATTATTATTATTTTTATTTATTACTCAAGCATGACTTGGTAGTATGTTGAGTAAAGGTGGATTACGCCGAAATAGCTAGGTGGGTTGACTATGTTCAACAATTTTGATTATCTTGGAAGTTTAATGGAATTAAAGGTCAATTTGTGATGTGATCATCGTTGTCCTAAATAAGATTAAAAGTGAATTATATGTATGATTATTATGTATGGTTTACTTGAAAGAGTGATCGGCTATTAATTAAACTTGTAATCACGTAAAGTCAAACATGGATGAGCAATAAAACTCTGAAAATGGTGCACTTCTAGAGTATTGACAATTATGGGTTGGGGTACACGGTGGTAGCCCGTGGCTTTCCGAGGCTTGTGTGATCAACATGTCCTCTTTTCTTTTGGTATTTACATTTTTATTTTATAATGAAAGTTAGATGAGATCCTAGACTAACTTTATGAGAATGGAATCGCACCCATTCTTACATCGCGCTATGTATTTTTATTTTAAATGGTCATTTGGGACCAAAATGATATGGTGGATTGGACAACCTCGTCTATTGCTTACTCCAATTAATCTTAATTAAATTAAATATATAAAGTGTCAAGTATATTGAGTTGATTAAACTATTTTGGTGTGAAGTCTTGGTTAATGAAATTATGTTGAATGTTATTTACTTTAATTAGTTGAGCATCGGTTTCTTTTGCGAGGTTAAGCTTAAAATGGATGTGCAAATTTGGTTTAGGAGCATTTTTATTCAGCTTGTCATATTCCATGGTATACATAATACTTTATGATGCAGTTATCGCCCTTTTGAGATACTTCCATCTTGGCCTTGAGGGTCTTGTAGTAGTTTTGCCTGGCATGTCCATCAATAATATTGTATATGAACAATCTGTTCTCCAAATCTAACTCCTCAACTCTTGTCTTTCCGTACATTAATGTGGGTTCACCTTATCATATACATTTAGATATACAGTTGATCCCTTCAAAATTAATTACAGTATTATTCCATGATCTCCTGCAAAAAAATAAAATAAAATAAAATTCAGTATTATTCTTTAACGTCAATCTATATTAGTTATCATTATTCATTTTGGTTTAAGATATATTCCCCTCACTTCAAGTCAAATACCGTAATTTGGCTGATTCACAACTTTGACTGAATATCATATCACCAAGCTAATTATATATTAGTAAAATATAATATTTTTGCAATGTTAAATTTTCTTACTATAAAATAATTATTCTTTCTCTATTAGTAATATTGTAAAAATTTAGGATGACATATCAACTGTATTAAAATCACTATAACAAGATATTAACATATATTAAGAAAAAATTTCAGCATTGATCTAAACAATTTTGTTCCCTTTACCATATAATACCCTTAACTATTGATTAACTCAGAAAATATAAAATAAAATAATAGATAAGTAAAAATCAGGTGATTGAATCATAACCATAGTCTAAGACCAAGTTCGTGTAAGATGTAATACTTACGCATGAGATAAGTCCAATTACAAATGGCACCAACCTTATTCCACTCCCCTCAACAAGCTCAACGTTAGCAACTTTGTGAGGGCTTATTTTGGGAATAAGGTGTGCTTTGCTAGACCAAATGTCAAAGAATTTGTCTGCATGACATTTGAGCACAGGTTGGCCTTCAACCCTTTGAAGCTGAGCCATTTCTTTCCCTCTCGAACACTAATACATCTCAAATTATAGATTGAATCATAACCATAGTCTAATATTGTACTGTTTGTTGGTTCTGCTTGTACTGTTGGTTGTGCTTGTTCCTGTGTAGTATGAGGTTGTTCATAATAGTCAGTAATGGCTTTGGGGTTTGTGATCTGATGAATGATGATGGAGTTGTAGCCTACTGTGAATGGTGCTAAGTCCCCTCTGTGTACTTCAGTCCCCTAATGTTGGAGTCCCCTCTGTTTAATTCAGCCCCTACTGTTGGAGTCCACTCTGTTTAATTCATCCCCTACTGTTGGAGACCCCTCTGTTTTAATAACTTGAATGTTGTTGGAGTCCCTTGTAATTAACAGAACATTGTTGCCTACATGTGTGTGCCTACCTCATCTAGGAGTCCTTAATTGTAGTGTTTGTTGGTGGAAGAAATCCAAGTGATGAAGGGACTCAGTTGACAGAAAAATTTCATAAGATGGAATTGCTCCAACTTCTTCAACTGTAAGTTGTTGTTGAGGGAACCACTTATGTAATTTATGTGAGAAAGCACAACACCCTCTAATGGATTTAATGTTCTGTTTGTGTGTCTGTGTGACACATAAAAACATAATCTAATAACTTGTGCATAAATTTTTTCAAAGGCTTGTACATGTTCAAAATAACCTAGTCAAGACTGCCCTACAGTTTTAACCTTAACGTGTTAACAAAATACACCTAACCAATCAAAACACAAAAGACTACCTACTAAGATTCCATTTGCTTCCTTGCTGTTGCTTAATTGGTTATGTGTGGCAATCTCACTATCACCTTGCTCATGTGTCTGACTTGTGTTCAATCTGCATCAACTTGCATCCCTTCTTCACCTTCAATCTTTTCACCTATTGGTATGAGTATAGTGTTGAGGTAGTCAACAACTTGTTGAACCACACCCCTGTTCACATGTAGTTGTTCTGGCAGCAACCCCAGTCTTTCCAGCCTTTTCTTCCCTTTGTGAGGTAGGGCAAAGTTATTCCCCCTTGGTGTTTTAATATTTCTTCCATGCAGCATTGTAGTGTTATCCAGCAGTGCTTGTTCAACACTGGATCAAACAAATCATAAGCCTCTTTCACTTTAACTATGAGTTCCCCCAAGTCCTTAGGGAATGACTGGTATTGTAGGCTGTATCACATTGAATAGGCCAAGATCTAGGACATTTAAGTCTAGTAACTGTGCTGGCTGATAAATGAACTGTATTTGGAAACCATCTGACTGACATACAACAATGAATTCCTCATCTTTGGGAACTTGATGAGGTCTAGCATTATCCCACTGAATCCTTATGTCCTTAGACAGATGGGGTGTCCATTACTTTTTATGCCTGGAATGACATTGGTCAGCAGCATTGCCCTGATTGCCTCCCTGTTTACATTCTGTGTTGCCTTAATTTTCACAGCTCCAGCATCTCTGTTTTTGCTTTTTTTCTTTGCAATGCTCTCATAAACAAATGGAAATATTCCATACTTTCCATCATGTACCACTACTCCATGAGTGTCAAAAATTGGCTTGCCAATTACTGCCATGAACATGCCTTTGACCTTGAATCGCTTTGACTGTTGGCACCTATATGGATTTGGTTCATTTGGCAGTAGATAGATACTCCTTGTTTCTAGGTTCAAGTAGAACCACTTTTCATCTATGTGTATGACTTGCTGCATATCCTCAAACTTGGGGGAACCATTCTGTTCAAAAGGAAGCAAGTGACTTAAAACCCATCTTATTCTTGCTATCTTGTGATTTGATGTCAGTGCTGGGTGGTTTGTGCTTGTATGTGTTCTGAGCCTCCTTTTTTTCTTTAATTTGTGAATGGTGACATGTGAGATTTTTAGAGCAGCTTCATAGCTTTTCTCAGTTGTTCTCTTGTACAAAGGGGCTGATTGCAGAAATTCATCTGTGTACTCTGTTGGTTTGGGACCAGTTTTGCCAATCTTCTTGCTTCTGACATCTATCACATTCCCCACTGCCATTTGGCACTTAATGTCCTTGAATAACCTCTGAATTGTTGACCTGTGTACATTGAACTTGACTGCTTGCTGTGTTAAAAAACCCCTAGGCACTTCCCCATTTTCCAGCTTGAGTAGAAAAATGTCAACAATTTCTTTCTGGGAAATAGTCAGTTGTTTCCTGCTTGTGGGATATGTTGCTTCTTCATGTGATACATTGTTGTGAGTTCCTTCATTGCTTGAATCACTGTCTGCCATGTTGCCTTCATCATTTAGCATTTGATCAATGCTAAAAAAAGCATCATCTAAAATGTCTTCCATGGATGACAAACCAATGAAGTTGAGTTCCACAGATTTGAGGACTGGTAATGAAGTGGGAGGGCTGTTTTTTTTTTTTTTTTTTACTGTGCTGAAGCTGAACCAGAAAATTGAAAAAAAACTGAAGATGCTGCTTCAAACCTAACAATAATTAGGTTTTAGGAACTTATTTGACTTCTGACTTTTGAGAAGAAACCTTGTTGTAATTTTTAATGTTTTGGTTTCTATGTGAACTTTGAATTATGTGAGGGCAGAGTACTTACATACCCTCCACTGAATGAAAAATTTCAGGTGGAGGGAAAAAAAATTAGGGGAAATTTGGTTTTGGCAGAAACCTGAAATTTGGTTTTGGCAGAAAGTTTGAATTTTTGGCAGGATTTTTTAGTGTCAAAAATTTCAGTGGGAGGGAAAAAATAGGGGTGAAACCAGAAAGTTTTGAAAAAGGGTGAAAATTTAGGAGGGAAAGATTAAGGGCAGAAAAAAAGAATGAAAACTAAGGAGGGAAAAAAAGTCAGCTTCCCCCTTTTCTGTTCATATTCACATGCTCTTTCCCTCCTTTTTAAAAGTTAATCACATGTCCCCATATACAATTATCCCCACCTAAACACCCATTAAATCTTTTGCATTGGCCTCCGTGAAAGGTACGGCTGTTGCACTTTACCATTAACGGAGGTAGTATATCAAACTTAAAAAAAATAAAAATTAATGCTTAAAAATAAATAAAAAAAATATAAAATAAAAAAAGCTTGGTAGTGGGTACGTGCCCTACCAGGTGCCGTCCCTCCGCCCCTGATTGCACCATTTCTATTTAGGGTATGCTTTTATAATGTTTATTTCATTTAATTAAAGGTATTAATCTCTTCGTTCTAGAAAGAAAGTTACGTTTGCTGATTTTACACGGTTAATAAGGAAGAAAGATAGTGGAAAAAATGATTAAATATCACATATGTCAAGTATTAAGTCACTATTTACCAATCGCAATTGAAATATTTTATACATACTCGGGTGTACAATGCACCTAACTAACACAAAATTAGTTTTTGCTCTTCATCATTTGATAATTAAATGAAAACAATCATCAAAATGAGAGCAAAATGCTCATGGGTGTATACACTAGTAGAGAAAATGAAATAGGCACCGCACAATGTACACCGGTTTTTGAAAACCGGTGCTAAAAAAATAGGCGGGATTGGGAAATAGAGTTTTTGCACCGGGTCGCACTAGTTCCAACCAAACCGGTGAGAAATTATCTTTTTCGCACCGGTTTGATTAAAAAAGAAAAATAAAGGGGGAGAAAGAGATATCGCACCGGTTCACCGGTGCTAATTCTTAGTTTTATAAAAAAAAATCGGGCTCTTTAATCTTATAAACCCTTAACTCATTTTCACCCGCCTCTATTTTGCTCTCCTTCTCTCTCATCTCTGCTCTCGTTCTTCTCTCTCATCTCTTTCATCTCTTCTCTGATATTTTTTCTTCTCTGATCTCTCGTTCTTCTTCCTCTTCTCAACAACCACCGACCTTAATCGAATTTTGAAACCAAGCACAACAACCATCGCCGCCTCCGTCAACCATAACAACCATCGCCGCCTCCGTCAACCACAATAACCATCGCCGCCTCCGTCAACCACAACAAATTTGATTGAATTTTCGATTAAAAATCAAAAATTTGAGATTAGGGTTTCTGGGTTCTTTAGCTTTGCGTTTCGGTTTCTGGGTTCTGGATTTTTTCTGCGTTTCTGGGTTTTTTCTTGGTTTTTGTGGGTTTTTTTTTGTAAAGGTTTTCCGTGTTCTTTAGCTTTGCGTTCCATTTTTTATGTTCTAGGTTTTTTCTCGATTTTTTCTGGGTTTTTTTTGGGTTCTGGGTTTTCGGGTTTTTTTCTCGGTTTTTTTTGGTTATTTCCGGGATCTCTCATTCTTCTCTCTCATCTCCTCTTTAATATATCGTTACAATTTTGGAGGTAGTATTCCTTCAAAAAAAATAAAAATTCAAATGTAGCGACTCCTTGATTGAAGAAAGATTCAAGATTCAAAGATTTTGGTGTTTTGTTGTTCATTGTTGCGTTTTTTAATTTTTTTTTTCTTTTTTCTATATTTTATAATTTGTAAAATAAAAATTTATTTGATGAATATATATATATATATATATATATATATATATATATATATATATATATATATGATTAATGTATATTACGATTTTGGTGTTTTTTTTTTTAGGGAAACAATTCTAGGTTTCTAGGTTCATTGTCTGATGAATTTTGAGTGGAAAATTTGCATTTTTTTTTAATTTTTTGCATGTATAATGGGCACCAGTTAATCGCCGCCAATTGTAGTTAAAGCCAAAATACAAAAAACGCGGCACTTACTTTTAGCACCGGTTAACCAGTGCTAATTCTTAGTTTTCCCACCGGTTTTAAACCGGTGCGAAAAGTGTTTCTTTTTAGCATCCCTCAAATCCGGACCGTTTCAAAACCGGTGCGGTTTTACATTTTTCGCCTAGTGATATAACAATCTCTCAGTTGCAATCAATTGGTTTTAATTTCCAACCTTTTGCAATCGGAATATGCGTGGTTCTAATTTCCAACTTTTCTAGAACTGTCTGGGTATCAATTTATTGAAAAAATACTAATGTATGCATTTAAAAGAATATCTATGTTCAATATATTTAATTAATTAGTGAAACCCAAAAGGCATACTAATTAAACTTGAACAAAAATTAGGGTATATGTAACTCTTAGGGCTAAGAACAACATTTAATATATATCCTAATTTGGTACTTGTATTACTTTAGGTGTGTATGATAAAATCACGCATGAATCAATGTAATTAATGCTATCCATTCTATTTTTATTTCAACTTTAGTTCCTTATACGTAGCCTATATTACATTTTCCTAAACATAAATTAGCCTAAAACTGTTAACAAATGTAATTATTAAAGCTTTAAAATGAAATAAACGATTAATTTAAGATACTAGAATTTGTATTTTCTTAACATCATGTAGTATATATAATTATGAAGTATAACTTTGGATACCCGAATTTAGTCCTCGACAGTTCCAAGCCCGGTTTCAAATTTTTTTGGAACCGATTCTTTTAACTAGTTCCAAGCCCGGCTTCAAAATTTCAGGAACCGATTCCAATTGTTTTTGGTGATCATCTGGTTCCCAAGAGTACAAAGTTCGCCTCAAGAGATGTATTGAGTACTTATAAGATAAGTCCAACTACAAAAAGCACCATCCCTATTTACATGAACATAAGAAGAACTCCATATTGTTAAGCCAATGTTAAACACTTACAATAAAGATTTAGAGTTTATTTATTTATAAAAGCCAATGTTATTTATTTATTTATCAGGCATATATGCATGTGATATATATGTATAAACCTTATAATAACATACAGCCAACGATGGCAAGAAATTGTGCATGCATTATGTCAAGATAAATGGCATATATGCCTTTGATCAAGCATTGCAAAGAGAAGCACCGATATCTTTAGCAACGCCAAGAAGATAGTTGGCGTAAATATCAGGTTCTGGAACATTCTCGTTCATCTTCTCATACTCAAAGCTCCAAGTTACAGTACAACCCTCATCCTTTGGAGTTCATTGAATCTTGGATATTAATGTCTCTTTGTAGTACTTCTCCACAATTTTTCCACCAAGGTGGCTGTACCTTACACACCTGTTTTCGTCGTTAAGCTCTTCAATTTTTGTCTTCACGATTGCTCGTTCCCCGACTTCATCTGTGGATCAGAGGCATATTTAGAAATATTATGCATTACTAGCTATCTTGTTCGTAATAATATTTGATAGTATCATTTTCACAAACAAAAAAAAATTCATGAATTCTAAAGGTATATATAGTGATAGAGTATATATATCGATCATGAGATTCAACCATAAGCTTAAGCTTTTGATTAATTGAGTTGGTCCTCTAACATGATTTAAGAGCCAGCGTGCGTGACACAAAGGGGGTTACGGGTTCAAATCTCATCCACCTTCACTTTTAAGTGAAATATTTCTCGCTGGGTATGAGGGGGCTCATGCCGCATCCACATTTCAAGTCCAAAGGGCTCTCCGCATGATAGAGTATATATCGATTCTAGGCTTCAACTATCAACTTAAACTTTTGGTTGAGTTGATTCTTTAACATTTAGCAATATATATGTAAACACATACAAACAAGAAGTATAGAGTACTCTATAATGATTTAATTCGATCTGATAATTTAAGAAATACTTTTAAGCAAATATTTGCTCAAATAATAAGTTTAACTTCACAAATCCTATATATTATTGCGGTAAGCTATGCAGCAGTAAGGCTATATTTAGCTCACCTTATTTAAGGACCCTATTATTTATTTCAAATCATATTAGGAAAATACGTTCATGTCATTCTTAATAGTTTCATATGCGACTTTATTGCTAAATATCTTTAATTTCGTAATGTAAAAGTTTTGAAAATTACATATGAAAAAAAAATATACACTTTAATACCACGACCCATTTGAAATATGTTATTCCTTATAAAGTACGTATACATATTAAATCAAAATTTGGACAAATCAGGCAATAACTACAATCAAATTAGATAAGAAAAAAAAAATAGTTCAGATCGATCAGATAAAAAAAAATGGTTTAGATCAAAACATCATAAAAATTAAGTTTAAAAATATTAGAAAAAATAAGTTTAGATCATATTATATTATATAATAAGTTAAAATCAAATCAGACAAGTATAAAAAAGGTGGATTAAACATAGCCTAATTGTAAGATGTACATTCTTACCAATGACATAATTCCATGTTATGACAGCACCAACTCTATCCCAACACTCCCCTCATTCAGCTCAGCTTTTTGAATTTTGTTAGGGCACATTTTAGGTACAAGGAATGGTTTGTGAGCCCAAATTTCAAAAAACTTGTCTGCATCACATTTGAGCTCAGTTTGGTCTTCAACCCTTTGAAGTTGAGACATTTTTTTTTCTCTCTAATTTCTGTCTCTTAATAAAAATAATCTTACTCTTGATATAATTATGTTTTTCTATTCTTTAACAGACATATAAAATATGTTATGTTCTGAGGTTTAAATAGAAGAGTTAAAGGCTCAAATTAAGAGATGTACTCTCTAGAATGTTGTACGTATCACTATAAATCACTCCTTTAACTTGTTTGATTCCCCTTTATTTCTTCAAAAAGAAGATCCTATATTATATGGTTAAGGGAATGGGCATAAAGTGAATATATGGGGTAATCAAATTTTTTTCTTACGTTTTTGTACAGCTGTTTACACTTTGAACCTTTATAAATTTGATGCAGATGGCCTGGCTTGGAATCTAATTAATACTATACCAATAATGGATATACAGTATAAGAAAAACATATTTCCTTTATTTTTTTACTTACAGCGAACACTTCTCATTCCAAGCTAATAACTACATAAACGAATATCAAATTAAATCATATTTTATTTGAGTGAATCTCCGGCAGCGTAATACGGCAAGTTGTTATTTTCGCTATTTTTTTAGTGTTTAGAGAGTCATAAAGACAGGGATGAGAATCGATCTCAGGATTTCCTGAAATCGGGAGGAAATCTCTAACTACTTAAGCTATCCCTCACTCTCTTTTGGCTATGATTTTTGTATATGAGAAAATTTTGAAGTTATAATGTGATAAGTAATCGCATAATATGAAATATTTGATTTTTTAAAAATATCATTACCGTAAGGAGTAAGATAAATAAAAAGTATAAAATACTTACTTTTAGTGTAGATGTAGCGGAGGCATAAATAATTACACAATACAGTTATAACTATAAGATATTATATTTTATTATTTTAAACCATTTAACATTAATGTAAAAATGGGAGATTAATGTTATGGTCTTCACTTTTCATTCCATAAATCACATGTATTCAAAACCTTGTAGTAACTATATTTAAAAATTTTAATTGAGAAACTGGCATGGGCATGGACATCGAACATTTGCATGAGAAGAGAGTGTTGGACATTGAACATTTGTCTCATTCTTTTGTTTTAAGTTTTTCAAATAACTAATAAAAAAATAACTCAACTTATTTACGAAAAGACTTCAATTTTCCATTAGACAAACCCCACATCTGTCGGAGGAACCCTATTTGCTCATTGCAATAACCCATATTACTCCTTTTTCTCAAAAAGAAAAAAAAAATCTCTATTACTCAATTACAAGTAGTTATCTTATACTACCTTCGTTTTTTTTTAGTTGACATCGTTTAACTTTTACGCTATTCACACACTATATTTTGACTCGCTTTTGTGATTTATAGATACGAAAAAATATAGTCATGTAGGATCTTGTTTGAATCGTCTCAATGTATATTTTATTAATATCCACTTTTTATAACTTTATTATGTTGATAATTAGAGATATTAAGCGTTAATATCCACTTTTTGAATTTTTCTTACTAAATTATGCAATAATATAATAATATTTTAAACCTATGAGGATAATATTTGAATAATATTTTCTATTCCAAATTCTCCAAAAAGGCGACTGTACGTTAATTTATTGTAAGACTGGTTAAAGTTATCTTAAAAATATTTAAGGTTACCATTTATACTTACAAAAGTTATTATTTTTCTAATAATAAATTTTATCTTATAAAAAACTTATAATGTATTAGGTTAATCATATTAGCCTTTATAGTATGTACATGAATATATAAGAAATTACACATTAAAATAACATTCAAACCAACGACAAATTAAAAGTTACCTTCTAAGGGGTTAAAGTTACTATAAAAATAGTTAAACTTACCTTTAAACTGACTGTTTTACAATAAAATTAACTTACACAAGACTTATTGTTTCTATTTATCAGATGGTGCCATAGGATTTTTTAAAACTTTGTATGATTACATCAAACACACTACTAACAATTATAACAGGCCAGGGATAACACTCCTCTTCATGTGGATGCCAAATCAATTAGATAGTACAGTGCTGAGTTCCATTATGCTGACGAAGATGCATCAAGGCATTATATACATTGCACGCATAAACCTTAGAATTAAAATATAAGTTACGTAGCCAAATATAGCATAAGTTGCCCGTTTATCTATGAACCATGCAATAAGCATTAAGCATACGCAATGGCGCGGCTTATCATCATCATCAAGCGCTGCAAAGATGAGCATCGATTTCTTTTGCAAGCTCGCGTGATAAAGCAACGTGCATTTTTGGTTCAGGAGCATCCTCGTTCATCTTCTCATATTCAATGCTCCACTTCATAGTGATACAACATTCTAGCTTATTGATTGGTTCATAGACTTTCTCAAGAAAAAAATGGTCAAAGGAGTGGTTCATAGTGATACAACATTCTAGCTTAGAGAGAGCATCTCTTATCTTAATTTGAGCCCCCCCGACATATCTATTTAAACCCCAACACACAACATATTTCATTCATATGTCAGTTAAAGAAATAAACAAATAAATAAAAAATATTTAAAAAAAAAACCTTATTTAAATCAAGAGTAATACTATTTTCAAGAGATAGAAAGAGAGAAAAATGGCTCAGCTTCAAAGGGTTGAAGGCCAAGCTGAGCTCAAATGTGATGCTAACAAGTTTTTTGAAATTTGGGGTCAGAACCCGTCCCTTGTATCTAAAATGTGCCCTATTAAATTTCCAAAAGTTGAGCTTAATGAAGGGGAGTGTTGGGATAGAGTTGGTTCTGTCATCACTTGGAGCTATGTCATTGGTAAGAATATTTTACACTTATTGTGATAATATTTAGGATATGTTAAGTTCAACTTATTTGAGCAAAAAATTTCTTACGAGTAAAATATTTTTAAAATTATCATATTGAATCAAATCATTATGGAGTACTTCTTATTAGTATTTGTTAACATGTTAAATACCTTTATTTGCGTGGTAAAAAAAACAATTATGAGAAGGACCATATCGCATTTGTTATTATTATATATTATGACGCGAACAGATAATGATGCACAATTATTTTTAACAATGCCTCAACAGATGAAATCGGGGAACATGCATTCGTCAAGACTAGAGTTGAAGAATGTGACAAAGAAAACAAGCTTGTACGCTACAACTATCTTGGTGGACATATGTGGAGTACTACTACAAGACATTAAAGTCGAAGATTCAAGCAACTCCAAAGGATGAAGGTTGCACTGTAAAGTGGATTCTTGAGTATGAGAAGATGAATGAGAATGCACCTGAAGCAGATATTTACGTCGATTATCTTCTTGGCGTTGCTAAAGATCTCGATGCTTGTCTTTGCAGTGTTTGATCAATGGCATGCCAATGTACATGCCATTTATCTTGTCATGAATTGCTACTTTGCTAGATCATCATTTGTACATGCATGCATGGTATATTACTAACTTAAATTATCTACTTGTACTATTGCTACAAATTAAATGTTGCAGCTAATGGTGTTTGTTTGCTGTAACCTTTAAAATATTAAGGGTTATTATGCATATCATGTCACATGCATGGATGTATGTTTTGGACTTTTGGTAGCTTTTATAAATAAAGAAACTCTCTTTTAAGTGTTAAAACATTGATTAGTGTTATATATAAGATCGAATACGTCTTATATGTTCATGTACGTATGTATCTAGTGGCGGATGCACAATTTTTTTTAAGTGGGATCGTCCCATGACCCCACATGAGCATGAAAAAATAATCCTATAAAAATAATCTTTTTTTCTATAAAAATAAAATAAAAAATAAAGCAAGAATCTCAAATAAATAACATTGCATACATCATATCATATAATTCCAAGGTTTTATTCCAAGTTTCCAACACGAAGAATATGATCCAGTTGTTCTTTGGTCCTGTTTAGATATTATATAAGGCAGGAGTACGTGTATATTATATGATCTAAAAGCAAACACTATTGATGCCCTTCTCAACAAATCAGAATTTCTCCTTTTAAAAGAAATAATGGAAAATGAATCTTCAATAAATTCAAAGGAGTGGTTCAATTCAAAGTGCTCTGATGGAATATTAACCTTGGATAAGGTTGGTGATGTATGTAATTGGACTTATCTTTATGTAATTGGACTTATCTTATAAGACCTTCGACCAATATAAAAGTAACTCCGAAGGCCGAGGGCGAGTACTCCATTATGAAGTTAAGCTATGAATCTGAGAAGCTGAATGAAGGTGCTCCTGAACCAATTATGCACAAGGATTTAGCATTCGACATTGCGAAAGATATCTAGTACATTTCTAATACCAATAATTGTTTAACTTCTTATATATGATACAGTACACGAGGGATAGAATGCAACGTTTAAAAAAGGGAAATGGGTCAAATGACTATAAACAATCTAAAGGGTTAATTGATCAACTCTTTGTCTTTGTCTTGAATATATATCTTCTTCCATGTACATGTACGCCCTGTATTACTAATCAATTAACAAAGTTAGAATAGAATTTTTCAAAAACTAACACTATTAGAAAAAGCCCAACTGTTGCGGTTAAAATGGGGGTAGAGGTAGCCAATAATAGGAGTAAAAGACTCCAGTTCATAACAGAAGCAAATAAGGCCCATAGAGGCCATTTTTTGTTTTTTTGTTTTTTGCAATTTTTTAAAGCAAATTTAATGATGATTTGAATTTCTTAATCAAACTAAAATTTGTATCAATATTGAAATTTTTGTACGTCACATTTGAATTTGATGATGAAATTAAAAAAAAGTATCCTAATTACTTATTTACTTGCACTTTAGATATTTATTTCAAATATCAGTAGCTCAATAAACTTAAAGGGAATATGGGGCTATACATACAAATAATATCAAAACTTTGCTCATCTTTGTTTAGTATACTCACCAAAAAAATAAGTTAAGAATCTCTAATCACATAACTCAGGTCTCACCTCTATGAACTGAGTTGCTTTCCTTCATCTTTATTAGAGACTAAGAGTCTTTCGAAGCTAACAGTGACAACAAACCCCACACAATCACAACATTTATCCTTCTTTCTTTATCCTCAGCTCCAACCTACTTCAAATTAATTAGCTACCCTTTTAGCACAAACTC